ATTGTAGTCAGGTGTTCAGGTCAACACTTGACTTGCCTTTGCATGTGTTGTGGATGGTGCCACCGTTAGGGCAGGATACGCCCACATTTTCGCGAAAACCTGCAATCATTACTAACTGAGAGTTCTTCAGAAACACATGCCAATGATATAGCGTATAATCGTACAAACAACTCCGATTTTAGAATAGATTTTCTTATAATTAGGGAAATGATTTGGTGGCAATTATTAATTAATGAATGGCAATATATCTAGTACTAACTGAAAGTATTCTAATTTTATCTGTTAAATCACTGACCAGCTGCCACGTATCGAATACGATACCTCTCTGGTCAGCTTGCAGTATCCCGCACCTCATCCACAATGTCAAGCTTCAGTGGCCAACCGGCCATTCTCTGGCCCAAATTAGGAGCCACTGACTTGCACATGACTCTGTGCTGTTGGCCATAGTAATAATAGCCCAGCTGGTGTTATAATTTGATTTGGGCAACGATGTGAATATTTATCTATATATATATTTAACTTATTTAACTCAGGGAATATATAAGACATATATATATTCCCTGATAAAACCTATACTCTGCCAAACTGCCTACGATACTAGTGTCGTGATGTCAGGGCATCAGGCTCCTGGATCTGTTGACCATTTATACCGTCTAGGTATGGACGTTATCAGTGCTTAGTTGTGTTTTCACTGTAAAACAAGAGTAATCAGCAAGTGCCTGACTTACATACATTATATCATTGACTTAAAAGACAAAAAAACTGGCGTTTGAACGATTTGATTATAACTATCTGAGACTGTTGCACTGTTGTCTCCTTTAAGCAGGATTGAACTTTCAGCAAACTTATGCATTGTACCTAAACAAGGTGCTGTCCGATCTTGATTTGTCGGTCTATTCATGTATATAACATTGGCATTTATACTTACTTTGTTGAAGACAATGTGGCAATAGAAACACACGCAGTGCAAGTTTGTCATGATTTTTCCAATTTCAATGTAGCGTGGATATATCTACAGGCAACCTGGCAACATTGAAAGCACAGTACGTTTATTTCCCCATTCCTCCAGTCTAAAGTCACTGTCACCTGCAAATCATCAGTGTGTCAGGTATTAGAAGGAGTCGTCATGTCAACCGTCGGCTCCGAAACGCAGCAGTTTCATATCGTCATCGCTTTTATCGAAGCCGAGCTCGTTCTGGTATACACGTCTTCGACCAGCAGTTCTCAAACTTTCAATAATGAACCGCCTTGCCATATGTCTTCCCAGGAAATAATACCCCGTTACCCGATAAGTTCCTGCGTGAAAAGAAACTATTGCACCGATCGATAATTGATGTAGATGTGGCATTTTGATAGACAGAGACAATATAGACCAATGTTAACAAACTACATTAGAACACGGGGAAAGGTAATTTGAACGGCGTCATGACGTCAGCCTACTATGACGTAATGCAAATAGTGTACTTTATTACAGGATAAATTACTACCGGAGCCTTTGATCTTTAAGTGAAGCATCTTAGAATAATTTGTTTCTCAACATTCAGAAAGCGGTCCGTCATCACGTTAGCATTTGACATTAGGCATTGTATCATGACGACTTATCATACTAGAGTGACGTTATGTCCCTAGGCAACTTTGTGGAAATAAGGTCAGAATTGAGCTCCATTATGTCATGAAATTAAACTCGGGGCGATCAGGCTTTGTGACATGGCTGATTGTGTACGATAGACTTGTAACGATAGACATCTTCATAATAGATATGGCTGATTGTGTGCGATAGACTTGTAACGATAGACATCTTCATAATAGACATGTCTGACTGTGTGCGATAGACATGTAACGAAAGACATCTTCATAATAGACATGGCTGATTGTGTGTGATAGACTTGTAACGATAGACATCTTCATAATAGACATGGCTGATTGTGTACGATAGACTTGTAACGAGAGACATCTTCATAATAGACATGTCTGACTGTGTGTGATAGACTTGTAACGAGAGACATCTTCATAATAGACATGTCTGACTGTGTGTGATAGACTTGTAACGAGAGACATCTTCATAATAGACATGGCTGATTGTGTGTGATAGACTTGTAACGATAGATATCTTCATAATAGACATGGCTGATTGTGTACGATAGACTTGTAAGGATAGACATCTTCATAATAGACATGGCTGATTGTGTACGATAGACTTGTAACGATAGACATCTTCATAACAGACATGGCTGATTGTGTGTGATAGACTTGTAACGAGAGACATCTTCATAATAGACATGGCTAATTGTGTACGATAGACTTGTAACGATAGACATCTTCATAATAGACATGGCTGATTGTGTACGATAGACTTGTAACGAGAGACATCTTCATAACAGACATAGCTGATTGTGTGTGATAGACTTGTAACGATAGACATCTTCATAACAGACATAGCTGATTGTGTACGATAGACTTGTAAAGATAGACATCTTCATGATTCTCGTTTGCTAGATGATAAAAGAGATTAATCACAGTTGCGCGTGTTGAATAAAAGATTCCACACATTGACGATGAAACAATTTGCATAAAGAAGAAAGTGAAAAGTTATCTTCGTGTAGTCCTATTCCTTTATCCGCGTGCTAATTTAAAGGTTTTGTGTCTTTAACAGTTAGCTGATTGTCTCTGTTGTATGAATGAGAAATAAACGATAGTGTCTTTGTAGATTGCCAAGAACGCGTCCATATCATACAGTAAATACTAGCGCTCGTGGTTTCACCAAAGTGGTAAACGTCCAAGATTTGCATCACTTTTGAATTTCTCCACACATAAAGCTGACTCGCTGTAATACCGATCACAGCGTTAAGCCCAACTCACTCATACAATACACTAAATACAATACATTAAATATGACTTGGTTACTATGTTCATTATGTAAGACAATACCAGTGCCTACATACACAATGGATACCTTGATCTGGTTTGGCAGGTATTTGTATGCAGATTCCAGATCAAATAAAAAATTCCTTTTGGACAGGGTTTGAATATGTCCCAAACAAAACATTAACATAGTTAGATCTCGTGGTCAGACTCGGTGACGTTGTTGATTGCAATACAGCGACCTGCTCTCTGCACAATCTGTAAACATGATATCAGAACTGACTTCCCCGTATATGATGTATTCTCGTGTTTCGTGTCTCGTTTCGAATATCTGTTAAAGTACAAACAGGTCCACGTTGGACTTGTTAAGAAATGTTGCTGAAAACATTCTAGATTGGCTGAGAATAGAGCCACTATCAGTTGTTTTGATCACTGCTCGAGTCCCTGCTGAGTCAGTGACGTCAGCTCCGTGACTCTGAATGGCTAACTGATGGTGACATTGCCAGCTTTAGTGAAATCGTGGCTGAGGAGAATTGCTTTATCTCATCTCATCAGTCGTGGCGCATCTGATGAAGGCATTCATGATGAGTTTTGATATAATGTCATTTTCCATGATGATATTTGCGTCGCGAAGACACGTTTAAAGACGACGACCGTTACTCCAATCTATTGAATATCACGTCCTATGATAATTTAGTCTCATAGTCTCATTCCAGAAACAGCTACGATGATGGATATCTTACACCTTGCTTTCCCAGTTCGTGGTCTTTGGTGTGTGATGTCTGCGGTTGCCAGGAATCCATCATTCTAACATAGTGACAACTGACTTTGGGACACGCCTTTTAAATCAATGAATTTCGTCGGCTTGGAATTCAATAAGTACAACACGGAGCATCCTCCACTGTCGACCGCCTCCGTGGTCTAGTGGTAGAGCGTCCGCCTGGAGAGCGGAAGGTCGTGGGGTCCATCCCCGGACGCGTCATACCAAAAGACGTTAAAAGATGGCTCTTGGCGTTACCATGTCTGGCGCTCGGCTTTAAGGGGTAAAACAAGGTCTGGTTGGCTCGGAGTCAGTATATTGTGTCTGAGTGAGGTATTCATGTTTAACTGAGGCATGGTATCTCAGTGTGCTAGCACTATAAATCGGCATCAGTCCGGATAAGTATAAGCAGCCACATACACACACGTGCATGCACGTCGCTATATAAGTGAAATAATCTTGCACGCGACGTTAAACCCCATTTTACCCCACCTCACCTCCACTGTCAGCAAACCTCAATATCTTCTTCCATACGTCCTCAAACCCTCAAGTAATGTATAAAGTATGTCAAACATTAAATATGAACTTTAAATTAATAAATTAAATTAAATTGAAAGTTAAATTTTAAATTTTAAATGTCCTTTTATCTTGTCTTTAAAGTTACAAAATATAAATAATGCGATGCAATCATACCATAAGTCAATAAGGTTAATACAACAGCATATTATTCCAAAAACATTTGTAGATGTTCTTCCATTCTATTAACCTATTCTGATTCGATACAATTAAAACATATCAAATACATGACAACATATCTCCGAACTTGAGACGGGAAAGATCAACAATAATACCTGCTCAATACGGCCGTTATCATTGCCTCTAAAATGTTACTCATTATCACATTAGCGAATCATTTAATTTAAATAATGATTAAACGTAATTAAAAGTACAATTATATATAGTTTTATATTGATAGACAACGTAAAGCTTCAAAATGTTGGCTTTCCGGTTTAACAGAGTTCGTAGTTTAACTGGGATTCAACTGTCACTCCTCATGTTACAGTGTAAATGTCAAGCACCATCACCTGATCCCCAAACCGTAAAGCGTTCACTGAGAAATTAATGCCAGAGTAACAAAACGCCGTCAAAACATTAGATATTAAACTTGATTAATCTGCTATAAAATCCATTCCACTCCATACATGAGACTATTACTCCATTATTAAATATCAAAATGGAATATTGAAGACGTCGAGAGCTAACTAAATTTAAGCAGTGGACATCGAAGACATGTGAGTACGTGCAGTAACGAGAGATGCCACGACAAAATCCATACTCTAGGATGCTAGGAAGTGACAAGGGACGGACCTGGCGCAGACACAGCCTCTGCATCACGCCTATGAAGCTACCAAGTGACTGCAGCTAGCACGTGAACCAAGGGCGCGTTCTCTGTGTGGCATGACCAATATCGCTGCTACTGGTGGCTTGGGAGGCGACAGAGTGTCCACCTGTTCTGGACATATGACATGATGCTGCGGTCGTTGTTGTACTGTTGGTTCCTTTATTAGGGCATTCTTGGAGTAGGATTCTAAAGGTATGTATACAGTCATGGTGCTTCATGCCTCGGAGATTTGTGTGTCGTAAACAGTATTTCTGTTTTAGATTTCCTTCTGTTGCTATTATTGGTATTCTTTAAATGACAGATTTATATCAAGTAATGTGATCGTGGACATACTAAGAATTTCAGGATCTAGGAGCTGTGTCATTGGTGTCTGTGGCTATTTTGTCGTGTCGTTATTTCCACTGAAACTTTGCGGATTAAGTATATCAGATAGTGCCAATGCTGTATTTAGATGATTCTTCATTGGGATATCTGTATTACTTTTTACAACAATACATTGTTCACAAATACTCGTAAAATGCAGCAAACTTTATCCATGACATGTACATATGTTGTGTTTCTACAACGTTTAATATTCTTGCTAATATATGTTAATGAACGTAAGTTTATTTCTTGTCTGACGGTTTGTTTCTTGTGGTATAGCTTCATACGCCACCCGTTTCGTATTTGAATTAAAAAGTATATGTCATGCCAGATTTGCATAAAGACATACAAATATTTAGCTCACAAATGTGCAGTATTGTTTAAGTCAATCGGATAATTGTCTTTCATGACAGTGGTGTTTGTTCATACATCTGGTATGTTAATGGGGAACTATATTTTCGGAAGAGCGTTTGTCTTCCATGACGTCTTACTTTCAACCGCTGGATGGTGCTGAATATTCATCTCAAGTAAATATTAAACGTCCAGATAATTACTAGTCTATATTTACCGCCGAAACAGATTGGAAAAGCTGCAGTTATATAAGACAAAAGGAAAAGAGAGTAACCTCTGGGTGTGGAGAACTAACCAGCATGTGCTTGTATACCGGAGATCTGAACACATGATGTTCATTCAGAACACACCAAGTCAAACAGAGAACTGACGATGGTTCGTAACTGATGCAATCAATTCGGGTAGCAACGGAATGACATATGTGTCTACTGAAATAATGCTCCAAAGTTAGTATTGGGTACAAAAGATTTGTAGTTGATACAATGTTCTTTTGCATCGGAGGGTCATTTGATGCATTGTAGTTGTTACTGAGAGAGCAGCAATATGAAGAAGATCTGTAATGAAAATAGTTGAAAATATTTCACCGTGCTGTTAGTGTCCAATTCTCCAAATCCGGTCAATGTTTATCGGCCCTTAATTACTCAGGTTAAGATCAAATTATGTTTGGATAAATACAAACGACAGAACTATTTCAGTAATCACAGGAAATCTCTGAAAGCAGAGTCCATGGCCCGATTCCGACTACATCGAGAGCACATGCATATCTTGCTCACGGGTACAATGTAGATACACAAGTATGATCACAGTTCAATAGGGGCCGCTTGTTATCTACGTTGCAATAACGTCTCATGCCTTATGTATATATCATGTTGCAACCATTGTTGAATATTTACAAACCTACTTGCCTCTGATAACAGAGTAACTCAATGTTATCAGTCATTGTCATTCTTACGTGATATGACAATAAATATTTGTAAAAACAAATGCATAATAAACACATTAAAACAACCAAAGACTTAGATTACACAGTGATCGGAGGTACCACTGAACGATAAAACAATTCATTACACATCGTGTGTTATGCATATATACATTTTTATCTGATCACTGATAGACATTGCACATTTTGAGCTTCCGCTGTAAGCAGAAAGACGTTGCAGTACATTGTGTATATGCGTAGTATATAACTCGAGACAGCGAAGCGCCATATGGATAGGACAGTTATATGCTTAGACGGTGTATGAATCATTTTAGAAGGAAATTGAACTTGAGATGGACGATGAAGAAGGACACTCGGTTACTTGTACAACACCTATGTTGAATCTTTCCCTTTCAGGTCTTTATCACAATGCATCTAAGCCGTGTGACTTTACTTTATTTACTTGTGACGTGATGAGGCTTGATAATAGAGACATGTAGCCACCCCGACCATGTAGAACACAAACATTTCACTCATGGTGAAACATGTTTCCCATACCACGTGCAAGACGAAAGATTGTAGGCTCTCGGCATTGCGGAAGTTAGGTACATTTCTGGACAATAACATATAGACAAATATGATGTAGACATTTTAAACCTAGATGAGTTGCATAGCTTACATCTGTAGAAAAGGAGACAACGATAAATCATGCCTGTGGACAATTAGGGAATGAAATAGCGAGACTGCTAGGCTAAGCCTATGTTGAGCAGATGGCTTTGGACGTGAACAGTGTTGACATCTGTCCAGTTATATATGTCATGAGATATTGTTTTCGTCAAGTAA